CCTTGGCGTACTCGATGCATTCGACGTCACAGTCGTATGCATGCTCGTACGTGGACTCGACGGTGATGACGTCGTTGGGGCCCGGCATTTTGAGCTTGAGGTAGGTGTAGTTCGGGACCGCCATGAACTTGGCGTAGCATGGGCGCCCCAGAATGGCATGGTAGGTCCCCTTGAACCCAACCACTTCGAAGGTGAGGACCTCGTTGCGGTAGTTGGAGGGAGTGCCGAAGCAGACCAGCAAGTCAATGCGTCCGAGGGGTCACGCGCGCTTCCCTGGCATGACGTAGTGGAAGGGCGCGGCACCACCTCGGAGCCACGACTAGTCGAGCTCTAGGAGCTCCATGGTGTTGGCGTAGAGGATGTTGAGGCTGCTACCTCCGTCCATCAGCACTTTGGTGAGCCGGGTGTTGCCGATGATTGGGTCGACGACGAGCGGGTATTGCCCGGGGTTTGGGACATAGTTGGGGTGGTCTTCCCGATCAAAGGTGATCGCCTCCTGAGACCAGTTTAGGTACTGGGGAGTGGCTACCTCGACCGAGAAGACCTCCCGGCGTTCTCTCTTTCGCTGACACGCCGTGAGGCACGCTGAAGGCCCACCAAAGATCATGAAGGCATCGTGCACTTTGGGGAACCCGTCGTCCTTGTCGTTATCTCCTTCGCCGGCGCCCTTCTTCCTAGCATCGTCGTTGGGGAGCCCGATCTTGGCATAGTAACGTCGGAGCATGGTGCATTCTTCGAGGGTATGCTTCATCGGGCCCTGGTGGTAAGGACAGGGCTTCTTAAGCATATTGTCGAATATTCCAAGGCCCCTGCCGGGGCCTCGGAGATTCTTGCGATCTGCGGCTACGACGAAATCAGCCTCGAGGGCCTCTTGCTTCCCTGGGCGTCCCTTTTTCTTTTTCTTGGGGAAACAGGAGGCCGAGGCCCCGGGAGCCTCGTCCCTCCGCTTCCCCTTTGTGTCGCCTTCGGGGAAGATGGCCCCGACGGCCTCTTCACCCGGGGCGAAGTTGGTGGCAATGTCGAGGAGCGCGGCTGCTGAGGTTGGTACGTTCCGGCCTAACTCTCGGACCAGGTCTCCGCAGGAGGTGCCGGAGAGGAAAGCCTGGACCACTTCTGAGTCACCGACGCTGGGCAACTCAGTACACTGCTTGGAGAATCGCCAGATGAAGTCTCGGAGAGACTCGTTTGGCTTTTGGCGACAACTCTTGAGGTCCCAGGAGTTCCCGGGGCGCACGTATGTGCCCTGGAAATTCCCGACAAAGATCTTTACCAAGTCGCGCCAGTTGTGGATCTGCAAGGGAGGGAGGTGTTCGAGCCAGGCTCACGCCGAGTCTGACAGGAATAAAGGGAGGTTGCGGATGATGAGCAGGTCATCGTTCGCGCCGCCTAACTGACAAGCCAGACAGTAATCGGCCAGCCACAGCTCGGGGTTGGTCTCGCCGCTGTACTTTGTGAGGTTGGCCAGTTGCCGAAACCGGGCGGGGAACGGGGCGCCGTGGATGGCCTTGCTGAAGACTCGAGGGCCAGGTGGCCCAGGAGAAGGACTGCGGTCCTCGCCACTGTCGTAGCAGCCGCCTCGGTGCGGGTGGTAGCCTCGGGCGGGCCCATCGTCGTCGTGGCATCGTCGCCTGCTGACCACATCGTGGTCATATTGCGCCTCGCATCGGTCGCTGAGGCGGTCGTGCACTGAGGGGGCCCTGAGGTGGCCGTGCACTGAGGGCCGTTTCGAGGTGTCCTCACGCCGTCGAGACGCGGAGCTTTCGGCCTGCTGTACTGTGGCGGTCTCAAGAAGGTCTCGGAGCTCACCATGAACCCATCGCCCCTCCATGGTAGAGGGCTCGGGCATCGCCCGGACTAGCATTGCCGCTGTCATGACGTTCTGGCTAGCGCGATTGAAGATTGGGGGTTGCTCACTCCCTTCGTCGTTGTTGATGCGGCGGTGCACGTCGTGGGCCCTCTGCCGGGCCCTTCCGCCATCACCGCGACCTCGCTGCTCCTGCTCGAGAGTGTCGTGGAGCTGCTGCAGCAGGAGTCGGTCTTGGTCGACCTTTGCCTGGAGCTCATGGAGCTGCTCCAGATCCAAGCGTCGGAGTTCCTCGGTGGCGGCATTCACGTTCCGTGCCGCCCGAAGCTCGACTAGAGGGGATGTGGCGTCACCTGCCCTTTGTCAGAGCGGGGAGCGGTTGCCTGCCCCTTGCCCCTGGCATTCCAAGCCCGATGTGGAAGCTTCCTCGAGTGGGATCGTAAGTGCCTTCGTCATCGGAGTCGGAGTAGCCGAAGCAGTAGTTGCTTGCGGCCAAAAAGCGGCGCATAGCCTCAGGGTCGCGAAGCCCGGAGAAGTCTGCTCTAGCCCACGCCTCGTCCTCCTCCGAGGAGTCGATGTGGGTGTGAGCCGAGGTTGTGGCCGAAAAGTCAAGGGCGAAACGTTGGTGGCGCCCTGAGGGTTCCGTGTGAGCGGAAGCGTAGGCGGAAGCGTAGGCGGCGACATTTCTCAACCCGAAAGGGTATAGAGACGGGGCCATCGCCCGGCCCTGCTCCGCCGGAGTTGGCTCCTCAGGGGGTGGCGGTGCGGAACTTGACGACGGGGCGTCGCTGCACGTCACCGGTGTCTTTCCCCTGCCCAAGCTTAGGCTAGACAGGTCCCCAACCAGGGACCTCGTACCAACAGCCGGGCACAGGATACCGGCGGAGTGCGGCGCGTCGCCCCGAGGTCGTGCGGTGTCGGGGTGATCTTGTTCGCGCCGTGCCTGGCGAGCGCGACGAGAGCGGCGACCCGGGCGCCGCCTGCGCCCGGGCTGCTAGTGCGCGACGCCGTCGTCGGCCAAAGGGGCTCTGGGTGGGAGGAGTACTAGGTCATACTCACGTCCTAGAGATATGAACTCTAGGCTCCCGAACCAGATCACCGTGCCGAGACGTAATGGGCGTATGGGGTCAGCCATCTGGAACTTGTTGGGACGATCAAGCTAACACGCAGAGACCCCTACCTGGCACGCCAACTGTCGGTGTTTCGAACCGGGGGTCCTCAACCAACCAGTGAATTTGAACTGCGTGCCCCTAATCCCGGATGGTGATGCAAAGAGACACAAGGTTTATACTGGTTCAGGCAATCGATGCCCTACGTCTAGTCTGAGGGATCGATCTTGTATTCCTTGCACCGAAGTGCTTGTAGTAGGGGGTTACAAGCTGGGTGAGAGAGGGAGCTAGTCCCAGGTCTCGGCGTGGAGCGGTGCGGGCTGCTTGAGTCGTTGCTCTCAGGCAGCGTGAGAGTGTGCGTTACAGAGTGTTGCTTGCGTGTGTGTGAGAGCGTGGTTCTTTCGTATGTTTTTTCACCCCCTAGAGCTATCCCTGGCTGCTTCCTTTTATAACCGTAAGGAGGGAGCCAGGAGTACATGAGTGAGCTACACGTGGAACCTACTGTAGTTCAGTCCTGTAGCAGCATGGTGTTGGGAATGGCGATTGGTACTTGACTGGCGCGTCGTGCTGGCCAGGCCCGAGGTTGTTGAGGTCGTGGGAGTCCTTGTTGACGTCTAGTTAGTATGGCCTCCACTGTAGAAGACATGCCGTGCCTTGTGGATCCTTGACTTGGTGGAGTGCCGAGGCCTGGCGGGTGCTGTAGCTGATCGTGCCGAGGCCTGCTTTGCCGAGGCCTCGGAGGTGACCCGTGTATGATGCGGGGGTCTCGGGGGTCAGCGTCGTACCCGGTTCAGGTGGAAAAGTGTGGAGCATGTGTCCACAGGGCACGGTAACCCCTGCACCGTCAGTAGGGGATGGTAAAAAGGAGATTTGACCGCTGTCCCATCGCTCCTGTTGCTGTACCATGCCAGTCGTGGCTGACATAGTAGGTGTGACCAGGCGCACTTTAAACGGACGGGACAGCTCGCCGGAGGGACGGTTGAGACGGAGGCGACGAGGATGCGGGACGAGCCCGGCCTCGGCCGAGGCGGAGAAGGAATAGTACGTCCGAGGCCCTGCCGGGGGGTCTCGGACGAGGCGGAGGACGAGCGGTTGGTATTTCATACTGATTCTGAGACTACAGGGACCCGGTCTTGACCCTCCACGCCGCTTTGTCCTTGGCGCAGGAGTTAGGTAGCACAGGGCAGCACGGGTGTCAGCAGGGGGCACAATGATGAGCACAGTGGCAGGTAACCTCTGCTGCGCCCGGTCCCCTGTCCCGTCGGTCATTCTGCCTGTACTGCGCCAACGTGCGGCTGACGTTGCGGGAGTAGTTGGGCGCATTAACTGGACGTGACATTTTGTCAGATGAGTCGGTCGGGACGGAGGTGACGAGGTTGTTGCCCAGCCTAGCCTCGGGCGAATCGGAGAATTGGTATCCCATCCGAGGCCTTGCGGGGCGGGGCCTCGGCGAGAGGGCCTCGGCGGGGCGGAGGGCTTTGGCCTTTCGTCTGAGGCCTTGGCGCAAGCCTTGGGCGAATCGGAGAATCTGCCGAGACCTCGCAGTTGTCCTTTGGCTTTGATTTTTGCAAGGCTTAAGCAATATTTTCGGTTCTTGCTTAGGGTACCCCTTCTTGTGGTATCCGACATAATGACTATTTTAATTCTAATACTGTGATTCCAGATTTCATAAACCCACCCAAAAAACACTGAATATACAAATTTTACATTCTTTAGTCTTTTGTATGTACACACCAAGGCCAATATTCCTTCTTCAAGAGATTTACAGATGACATTTCTACAAGAATGAATGTACAAAATTGTAGCACAGTTACATGGCTAATAACATTAGCTTTGATAATTCTGTAGTGAAATGGCCACAACTTTTAAACTTCCAACTAAAAAGATTGATGGTTGATATTAGCACACAACTACTGTCACAAAACATCATCGATTGCGGAAAGAATATTAACAAAAAGAAATAACTAAGGAAATCTATGAACAACATTTTCCTGCACAGATGCTTAGACTGAAACAGAAAGGTGCATCCTTTCAATCCAAATTTCTTTTTCATATTCCTTCCAAGCAAGAGCACACTACCTTTTAAGCTACTCAGTGTCAGAAGGTATATCTGGAACAGAGGCTGTATGGTGCACGAGGTGCTGCATCCCAGGTTTCAACTCCCTCTCACAAAAATCCTCATATTCTTCCCTGTCCCCTGCCTTCATCCTCACCTCCACCACCACAAGGCTTGGTGTGAGCTCAAATACTTCAGCCCCGATTGTCAATGGACCCTTTTTGCTTTCTCTCGTGCCTTCCAGGCTCACACGCCAGTCCTTCCGCCGAACTGCAAAGCTCTTCACCTTCGCGATCTCCTCCAATTTTGTTATAATCGTTTGCATGGGATGTGCTGAGACAAATCTCACTTCACTGCCTTGCTCCTCAAACAACCCCGACAAATTGAATCCCCTTGAGAACGATATGATATCAAACGCATTTAGACTTACTGGCCGTGGGAGAGATCCAACAGGCCGTCTCCTCTCCTCTGATGACAATGTGGCTGGGCAGGATGCTACGGACGAGTCTGATTCCCATCCAGAATCATCACCGTCGTCCTCTTTCTGTGTTGGCGGCGGGGGAGGTGGAGGTGGCGGCTCACTAGGCCCCAGTTCCGGCACCTCATTCTCACTGTCTGCCAAGCTGTGCACTTGGTCATCCTCGACGTAGAACCTGACCGGTCGGAACCCTTTCTGAAACCATCTGCTCTCCATTATCTGAGCCACGGTGATCCTGGTCTCTGGGTTGGTGTCAAGAAGCCGATTCAATAGACTGCTAAGATCCTTGGAAAACCATCTCGGACACCGGAATTCCCCTCTGTAAATCTTACGGTACATCGCCATGAGGTTCTGGTCATGGAAAGGAAGGTAGCCAGCCATGAGCACGAACAGGATGACACCGCACGACCATATGTCCGCCTTAGCGCCGTCATAGCCGCGGCGCGCGAGCACCTCCGGTGCGACGTAGGAGGGCGTGCCACAGAAGGTGTGGAGGAGGCCGTCGGGGTGGAACTGATCGGCGACCGCCGAGAGGCCGAAATCGGAGACCTTTAGGTCGCCACGCTCGTCGACGAGGAGGTTCTCGGGCTTGAGGTCGCGGTGGAAGACGCCCCTGGCGTGGCAGAAGCCGACGGCGGAGATGAGCTGCTGGAAGTACCTCCGCGCGGTGTCCTCCTTGAGGCGGCCCTTGGCGACGCGCGCGAAGAGCTCCCCGCCGCGGACGAACTCCATGACGAAGTAGATCTTGGACTTGGTGGCCATGACCTCGAAGAGGCGGACGATGTTGGGGTGGCGCACGCGGCGGAGGATGGCGATCTCGCGCTTGATGTGCGGGACGAGGCCGTTGCGGAGGGCCTTCTCCTTGTCGAGCACCTTGATGGCGACGGTCTCGCCGGTGTCGGCGTGGCGGGCGTGGTAGACCTTGGCGAAGGTGCCGTGGCCGAGCAGGCGGCCCAGCTCGTAGCGGCCGAGCAGGAGGCCCCCGCGCTTGGTGGCGAGTCCCGCGGAGGAGGCCGGCCGCCGGGGCTGCGGCGACGGGTCCCGCGACGACGGCGGGGTGGCGGCCATCGGGCAGCGGAGGAGGTCGGGCGCGCGGAGAGACGGAGGGGGAAGGCCGAAGGTGGATTAGCCGATTAGGTCGTGGTGGTGGTGAGGGCACGGGTGATGGGTGGCCGGCATTGGAGGGGGAACGAACAGCTAACGGCTCCTGGATACTTCCTGTTTATTTGCTCTGCTGCGCTGGCTGTGACCTGCCGTCCGCCGTCCTGCCCTGCTGGAGTCAAAAGTCCGGCCAGAATTTGACACGGCAGCTCCAGGGGTTGTATCTGCAAGTGTGCCACGGTTTCCAGAGTATGTAATTGTTTTTTTTTTAATTCAGAGTATGTAATTGTTAGCAAAATAGTTATGAAAAAGGGGTCGCTGGATCTGTAAAATCCAATAATTGTATTGTTCCTCACCTCCGAAATATATTATATAGTGTCAACCCTCCACCTACCGAGCTCTTAGCCATCTTTGTCAATCCTAACTTACGCCCTGATCGCGAGATCGTTTCTGTTGCTTATAAGCCGGCTGATGTTGTTTCGTTGTGAGAGAAAAATATTGTATCATGACTGATAAGCATGACTAATACGATCAAGCGAACATGTTACTTATATCGTCCACATTTAAATGGCCTATACATTTTATCCTCTACTCCTTTGTCAAAATCTCCGTTCGCTTGAACTACCTCAGCAGTACTTTTCAGCGGACGAACATTACTTTTCTCTCACAACAAATTAGTATAAGCAAATTTCAGCGAAGTGAACATGGCAATTGGCTCCTGATCTAGCGTCTCCAATCACCCTCTATTCTGATAATGTGGAACCTGTCATGTTGCAGGCTCCACCTACCACAAGCTACTACGTCAAAAATAAAAATGTGTAGTTGCCTCTATCATTTACTTTGATAGGTTTCTTTCACTTTACCATGGAACTCTAGCCACCGAATGGATTCTGTCACTAGAATAGGACATTAAGACCCATGCATGATCAAATGTAGTATTTGAATGAAAAACAACGGCCCTAGATTCTCTGGAGTGATTTACGTAACTTTTGTTCAAATTTTAAATTGGAACTTCCCATGTTGTTTATACCTAATTCATAGTAACTCTTTTGCATTTCCTTATTTCTTTTCTTGCGGATCATTTATTATTTCACCGGCTAGACACTTGTTATGTGTGTGTCAAGGAAAATAAGCTAGTAGTATCATATTAAGTTATTAACCCAGCCGGAAAACAGACGGACAGTATTCATGTACGCAAAAATGTGCACGCGTATACCACGTTACCACTATGATTTCGGGGGGTTCAAATGCAAAGAGCCAAAGAAAGCGAGTACGGAAGTTTTTTTTGAAGGAAAGGAGAAAAAAGCGTTGCGGCCAAGCAACGACCGCAACTTTTGGTTTACACAGGTGGCGCCCCGGTGGGGGAGCCGACATACGTGGAGCATTCTGGGCGGCGCAGCCCGGGTGCCAGGCCGGTGCACGTCGGCGTCGGCGGAAGATTTCCGGGCGGTTTGGAGTCGGGAACTGGCACCGACCGGCGACCGCTGGGGAGGTGCCGAGGTGACACATTATTGACGGGGTATGTGCAGACGCAATCAAGAAACGAAACTGGTGTCCATCTATTTTACTAAACGTATCTGAGAAGACATTGTAATATGGTTGGGTAATGAGCAGCTGCGACCTTCTACCTAGGTGCTAGGAGGCTCCTTACAAACTTGGTGAGAAAACATAGATCGCACACCTTCGACGGCGAGACGAGGTCTCCGCTCCATCATCATCCTTGTATGTTGGGAGGTGTGGATTGAAAGAAACGTAAGAATCCTCGAGCGCAAGGAGTCCGCACCAATGCAACTCCTCCAGAAAATCAAAGATGAAGCGAGCCTATGGGCAATGGCGGGAGCAAAAACACATCTCTAACTTATTATCGCACGCATGATGTAAACCATCCTGTGCCGAAGATTCGGAGAGTTGTGCCCCGTTGTACAAATTTATACATGTTTGTACATTATCTTTCTTAGGCTGTCTTCTTTTTAATACAATAGCTGCCGGTTCCGTTTTAAAAAAAAACAGCTGAGGAACTCAGAAAGGCACCATCTCGGCATCAAACACCGCTGCTAATCATTAGTGCCATCCTGTTTTTTTTTTAGTGGAAGCCCGTCCTGATTCCTGAGGTGGGCTAAAGTTGTCGATTAGGCTTAGGGCGGTGATGGGTTCAGGCTTTACTAAGGCCCCGACAGCTCTTGGGCTTGATTTAGGCCCATATTGGCTGTTTGGGCTTTTCTAATTCAAAGCATGGTTAGGTTTAGGGCCTTTGACGTTCGAACGCCAGAATTGAGAGAGATTGTCCGAAGCGTCTATCGACCCAACTAGGATTTTGCTGTAATTTTGTTATCTTCAAGCCTTATAAATTTTAATGGGTTGTTTGTAACTTTCATATTTTTTTTTGTTTTTTACTAGGAAACAGGCTTCTTGCATTGCAATGGAACACAATACCTATTGAAATCAGGCTTTGTATCATCGTTAGATATGAGTTGTTCTAACTCGTATAAGCGTGACTCATGGATCCAGATCACATGTGAGATACGGAGGACACAGCCTAATATGTCTTGAAATCGAACTTTGTATCGATCATCGATAGACGTGACTTGTTCTAACTTCTAACTCATATGAGCACGGTCATGTATCGTATCTAGCGAGATGCCCATCGGTAGGTCATGCTGCCCCTCGCTATCACTAGCTGAAGACAGAGAAACATCGTCAAGAAGATCTACACTATCAAGTGTGTAGCTGTTTAACCTATCATAACAAAAGATAGAAAAATGTCACACTAAGTCCTCGTTTGGCATAACTCAGCTTTACTAGTGAAGTAATTTTTTTGCTTCAGATTTACGAGCAGCTCCACCGATAGGAGATGAAGCTGTTTTGATCAATCATTTGACAAAACAACGCTACGTGTAGAGTTCCTTAAAATATACTCCCACAACACACAGGGACTCATATAGATCAAGTTGAAGCTAGAAGAACAACTATTTTTAGCTTCATCCCACATCGATCCCTTTGTGAGAGCATGTTTTTAATGAGCTTCACATGCGAAGCTGTCTTAAAAATACCCGTTTGGCACGAAACAACTTCAAACAGCTCGTGAAGCTGTGCCAAACGGGGTCTAAAAGGTTGCTACTCTTTTCGTTCCAAATCGTAAGTTGTTTTAACTTTTCTACATAGATTTTGCTACGTATGTAGATATACATTTTGTCTAGATCTATAATAAAAAAACTATGTACGTAAAAAAAATCGGAACAATTTATATACCATTTACGACACAGAGTTACGGTTGGAGAACATCGCAAGTTTTTTACAATTGGAAATACTCTCATGAGGGCGTTCATCGGACGCCTCCAATCCCGAACGCTTCTTCCCAGGCCCTGCTAACCGGCCCAACAGGCCTTCTGCCATCTACCTTCATTTCTTCACTAATAGAAAAAAGCGGCATTCCCTATCTCGCATCGGCTGTCACGGCATTCCCCACCGCTGTGGGCGTCTCCACCGCGCCGCCCGCCCCGCTCCCCTGCTCTGCTTCGCCATTGACGGTCACCTGCGCTGCTCTTGCTCTTGCAACGCCGCTCTTGCCACGTGCTTCGCCGCCCGTCTTGCCTGACGGCGTGAGCACCGCCGCGCCCACGCTCCATCCGCCAGCTGGCCACTGAGGGCACTACGCGTGTGCTCATGGCCCATGACGCCAACAGGCGCCGCCAGCGCAAGGAGAAGCGTCGAGCCCTGGCGTGGAAGCCCTCCGGCCTCGTCTCCTTCTACGGCTGCGGTGCCCCGATGCAAATGGCAGAGGAGGCCGCATCGAGATACGATGCATGTTTCAAGTGTACATTTCAAATGTTTCAGATGTTTTAGAGCTATATGTTGCAAGTGTTTTATACATATGTTGCAAAAGTAGATCGGGATGTTGTATATGTTGCAATGGTTGTCCACGTATGTTGCAGGCGTCTGTCCCTAATGTTTCATCTATTTTCCAGACGTATGTTGTAAGTGTATTTATCTGGATGTTGCATATGTTTCACACATGTGTTGCAAGTGTTTTTATTTAGATATTGCATATGTTTGCAATGTTTTTCAAGAGTTTTTTCAGGTGTTTCAGACGTATGTTTCAAGTGTTTCATCTGTCTTTTTTTCATGTTGCAAGTGTTGCATCTCGATATTGTAAAAGTAGATCAGATGTTGCACATGAGATGTGCGTGGGAAGCGGGAGGGGGCACGAGCAGTCCCTACGCGGGCACGTGACGCGGGCCTACGCGTGGATACGCGAAAACGGGCTGCAGTCGCGGACGTCCGGACGCTAGTAGTTCTGTTTTACAATAGTAGCAGGAGGCATGTCCAAAACCTAAGGTTCCTTCGGCACGTGCATCACGGAATACCGACATGAGTAGACGACGGCCGGCTGCGGTGCGGAGCGGATCCAGCCGTCCAGGCCCAGGCCAAGGGAGGAAGACCGGAAGAGACTGAGAGGAGAGGAATCGTTCGCACCTCCACCCGTCTGGAACGAACAGCCAGATCCGTCCAGGACCAGATTCGCACTTGGCACCACCCCCGCCGCCGCGGCGCGGCCGCAGCCACGAGGATCCGCCTGACTCACCCGCTCCCCTCGTGAAGTCGTGAGAACTGCAAAGAGGCTTTTACATGTATGCCATTAAAAAAGTTTGTAATTACACATAAACCATTAAAAAAGGTGACCGCACACATGTGCCACTGCTCTAAACTTCTTTGCCTTACAAGCCATTCCGTCCTTGTTCTGTTTGTTTTTCGCCGTTTGGTGTGGGACCGACCAGTGAAATTGTTCATGTTGCCCTTATGCACAAAAACACTCCCTCTCCTTCCTCCGCCCACAAAAAAACATTCCTCCCCCTCCGATGCCATCGCCACGCCTCCTCCCCTTCCTTTGCCTTCATTGTCCCCTCTTTCCGCTGGCCTTCTCCTCCGTCTAGTGTTTCCCACCCCCACCCTGCCGCCGCCCGATCCGA